TGTGTGTGTGTGTGTGTGTGTGTGTGTGTGTGTGTGTGTGTGTGTGTGTGTTTTATATTGTAATATGGTGTGTTGGCGTATGTGTTCTCATGCCTGAGTGCGTTTTCTCGAATTTGCTGCACTTACCTTAGGCCTAAAATTGTTGGCTACATACTGATCAGTGCATTACCAAATTATTGTGTATGTAGCTTACTGCATTTTTTCTGTTCTTTATCACACGTTGCACACACAACACGCCCTTCATGTGCATTATGTATATACCACGAACCCATATTCCTGTGCTTTATCACATCATGTAAATAAACTCACTACCTTTCCTGTGCATTGATGATAATAATAAAGGATGTACTGCCTTTCCTGTTCGTCATAACATTGTAAAGTTCGTAGCACAATTTCTCACGTGAATCAAGCATCGTAAAACGGGGTGGAATTGCACCAAACTGCGATTGTCACTAAAACTACAGTGAAATTAAAAGCCTTCAAAAAACATTAATATGTGCCCTGGTATTATGACATGTCCCCTGGTAAGCTAAAGATTCACAGCAAAAATATGTTGAAAAGAGAAAAAAGAATCAGGATGGATTACGTTTTGTCCTCTTCTTGACAAGGAATGAAATTGGGTAATATTTTACAGGTAGTTTAAGATAATAATATTCAAAGCCAAAAACGGATATATAAAGGTCACTGAATACATTATTTTTTGTAAACGTGAATACTACCTCAGGACAAAATTCATTAAAAATGTTCTAGGACGTTTAGGAAAAATTCATCACTCAGATTTGTAGATAGATCTATTGTTTGTCCATGAAAAAAGTGTGGTATTAATTACGTAAGATGTGTCAACAAAACCAACACGGTCACCAAATCCATGGAAACGAAACTTTTTTTCTCAAATTGGATGGCGGATTTTAAGACTCCTAACTATGCTTGTTATATGTGTGAACTTTGGTAACATTTGATCCACTAATAAGCGAGATAGCCTTCAGCTGTAGCCCGGGTGGCGGCCGAAGCCTACTCTTATCGATTTTAGACCACCAAGGGATCTTTAACGTGCGCAACTTGCACACG